CACCACTTCCTAATTATCCTAGGAATTTCCTTCACCTTTCTCTTGATTCAGATTATCTGTCTTCAGAATCTCAAAACTCTCTTTTTTGGTGTGTGCTCTTATTTTGGTGGAGCACAGTCTCCAGTAGAACTCTTTATTTTTATTTTTTCCTTGATATGCCTACTTCTATAGTCGCACTGCTCGGATCTCTGTATGCTTTCTTCCTCAAAGTGTTGTTTGGTTGGGTGGAATTTTGTTGTTTTGCAAGGAGGACAATGAAATTGGAAATAAATAGCCTAATTGCTAAGGAAATAGAATGAGGAAGGAGAAGAAAAAGACCCAGAAATAGAGTCTTTAGTGCCAATGATTTTAAAATTAGAGTTGCGTTCTTTTGGATAGGACAATTGGCTGTTTCTGGCCTCAGTATGGTTTCAAGACTAAAGCAAAGCATACTCTCAAGGAAGTACATTATACTCTCACTACAGAAACATGAGGATGTTTTTGCTGACGCAAAAATTAACAACTGTCCATCTTAACACATTAGTACAGATCTTTGCCTAAAAAGGAGGTTCGATGTGCAAAGACTAGAATTTTAACAAAACTTAGATTAGTTCTAACAAACAACCCTTGTCAGAAGCATATTCCAAATTTGCTTATCTCAAATCCAATCAAAGGAAAAGAAGACTTTCACAGCTATGGAGACCATAATGGAACCATGTGCCCTAAAATGATAAGACTGGTTGTGTCTTGGAAAAAGAAAATAAGTGAGGCAGTGCCTTTGGCAAATGTTTTTACCCACTCCAGAATTACTGACTTAATGTTTTGAGGCAGGATATGGATGAATTGACAATTATTCTCTTTCTGTACAAGATGCAATTTAGTCCTGACATCACTCTGCAGCCAGCTCTTAGTTTATGAACACTTTTTGAACATTCTAAAGGCTATACTGGACATTTGAAATGGTTTAAAAAAAAAAAGTTTATTTGCTGAGCAAAACTTTAATTAGACAAAACATCTGGGTACCTAAGGTGTAGATGGAGTACCTGCAATGATTAGCCACACATTTATTTCTGCTTCTACAGGGAAACTATACACACAGAACTGAGGCTCATTTTGTCTTCCACTGGACCATAAAGGGGCTGTCTACATCCAATATGAAGATAGTCTTCTGCAGTGAAAGTTATTTTATCAATGCCAGAGATAAATTTATTACCTTTCAAGAGGTTTTTTTCAAGAACTGAAGGTAAAATGTCACGTTCCTAATTATACTTAAAGTTCATTAGATTTCATAAAACATTAAAATGCTTTTTTTTTTGAAGGCTGAACAAATTTTTTGTTGATGATAGAATATATGTTTGCCTGTTTACATTAAAGCAAAGAATATTCTCAAAACCATTTCAGTGGGGGATTTGTTTTGGCCTGCCTCACTTGGAAGATAAGCTGGGTCCATATAAGTGAAGTAAATCATTACCTTTAAGACAATAGTTAGCATGTGTAACCATGAAGTCTTAGACAACCTGCAAAGTCAACTGGGCTCATTAACTCCCAAATATTTACAAAGTACTGGGCCAAACAACAAATGGACAATGAAGAGGCCAAGGCCTGCCTAACTTTATGATTAAGTCAACTTTTTTCCTTTTATTTAATCTTATAATACTGTGTACCTCTTCCTCATAAAACTTTCCATGATTGCAGTTTTAAATTTTTAATGGTCTTTTTGATGTGTCAACTTAGTTACAATCCCCATTGTTCATTCATAAACTAACCTAGGTGTTGCTATGATGGTATTTTGTAGATATGATTCAAGTACATAATCAGTTGAATTTAAGTAAGGGAGATTATCCAAGATAATCTGGGTTGGACCTGATTCATTCAGTTGAAATACTTTAGAAGCCAAGCTGAGGGTTCTCTAAAGAAGAAATTTCTATGTGTGGACAGCAGCATTAGCCCATGCCTGAGACTCCAGGCTGCACCTTCCAATTGCTCGCCTTACTAATTTCAGACTTGCCTAGCTATCTAACATAACCGAGTGAGCCAACTCCTTGCAATAAATTTCTTAATATATATCTTCTACTGGTTCTACCCCTCTGGATGAACCCTGACTTTTATAACATTGTGTGATTCTTGGGTCAATATGTTTTACTCTCTGAACTGTAAAGTTCATGAAGACAGACAATGTACTATTTTTATTTATGTATTTATTTATTTGCCAGTCATTGTGTCCTGTTGTGTATCTAGTGCCTAGCTTACAAAACTGACTCAAAAAATGCTTGCTGAAGGAGTAAAGATCTATAGATTTCTGTATTTTTAACTAAAAAAAAACCCCTTAATAGAACTGTCTTGAAAGCCCAATGAAAGTATGGAACAAGAGGTCAAAAAGGCTTCTTTCCACCTTGACTGTGGCTGTACCATTATTCTCATACATAGGACTAAATTCAAGAAGAGTCAATAACTGAAAAAATAATTATTTACCAAGTACTTGTTCTGTGCCAGACACCATGCTAAATGCTATACATACATCATCTCTTTAATCCTTAAAATAACCTTGGGTGGTAAGGATTATTATTCCCACTTATAAACAGGAAACTGAGAGACAGAACAATTAGGAAATTCATTTGAGATCACAGAGACAGCAAATGATGAACTAGGATTGAATCAGGTGTGTACCTCTAAAGTCAATGTTTTGCTATTTCACCTCCTTCTGAAGTTTGGAGACCCAGGGTCTTTGAGAACACATTAATAAAAATTTGGATGGTGTTCATTCTTCAACATTCCCATTAATTCATGAATCAAATGTCCCTGGTATGTACCTGGTTTCTGCTGAAATTGTTAATGGCATTTCTTTTCACTACCAGAAGTGTTCTAGTTTGGGTGTTAAATGATATGTTCCCTCTACATATATAAGAATGTGTCCTGTGTATAAAAAGGAATTGAGACAAACTGTGTCTCTGTCATGATTCCACTGGGCCCAAGACAGCAGCAATACAAAACCAGAATCTTCTCTGCTTTTCTCCACCTCATTAGATCAAGTCTGACAGCCACATCTCCAGGGGACCTACACATTCACGTGCATCTGTAAAGGGGGAAAATAGTATTTTCCAAACACAATTCCAATAAGCAGAATATGAGGCTGTGACTTTTGACCTTTGAAATGACCTCACTGAATTCCACTACCTAAACATCATCACCTTGAACGAATGATTCCCCCAGTCCTGACTTCCTGTGAAAATCTAATCCTGACAGTCCTGATCACCTTTCAGAGCAACTTTCTCTGGGCTAAGCTAGAAAAGCATAGGTTTTCACTCCCAGGAAACCCAGCAGTTGCTTGAAAAAGGGGCAGCCCCTCAAAATTATCAAGATCATCTAATGTGTTGGGGATGTGAGGTCAACTAAGCTCACTTTACAGTGAATTTCACAAGCCAGTGCATGGTGTTCTAAGATTATTAAAAATAACTCAGAGAAGAAAAAGAGACATGGAAATGAAGTAAAAATTGGAAAACATTCAGTGGAAGCATAGAAAAATATATTGTAGGGAATGAAGCCAAAAGAAAGTGGTATTTTAATTGACTATTTATAGATTAGCTGTTTATTTTTAAAGCAAATATAAATTAAAGACCCTCTTCTCGTGAAGGTACCAAGGAAAACCTAAGATTGAAAAGATGTAAACACAAATAATCTACTTTTAAATCTGGGTCATTGTATATCTTTCTCTGTGGATGAACAATGGCTTAAGAAAAAATATTTATCATATTAATAGCAAATGTTTTCGCAACTTCAAATATGTTCCAAGTAGCTTTAATTAAATTCAGATCTTCAAACACAGTTCTGTTCTTCTAATACCAATGAAAGAAATAGTCTGTAGGATATATAACAGTAACGTGTTTTGGTCTTTCCTACCAGGAAAAGTACATTTTTTTCTGGTCTTAAAATAAGCTTATTACTGGTTTTCTTATAAGGGTCAAAAAAAAAAAATCCACAAAATATCAGCCTAAACAGAAAACACATTCTCTCCCTGACACTGACTGGAGCAGTAGCACAGGTCTGCATGCTTGCGTGTGCATGTGTACGCGTGCATACGTGTTGTGTATGTGATATATGTGTTACGTTGCTGCTTTCCTAGAAGATTTTTTCATCCTCTCTACTTACAATATTTTCTCTAAATATTAACAAAATCAGGGAACTAGTCCTGATGAAGGCTAGCTCATAATGATATTAAGTTGCAATCTAACAAGCAATTAGAGCTTAAAGAATAATACTGTGGTCAAGTCACAAAACATATTTAATAAAAAAATTTAAACTTACTACTGTGGCATTTACCTTTGTTATTTTTGTTATTTATATACTCCGAATTGGAATAAATATCAACATTTCTTTATAAATATGGTCTTAATGAAAAATTATGGCTCATGATTATACTCTTGCCAAGTTGGGATTCATGGTTTACTTTTATGTCTTGGCGTTCATAAGAAAAGAAAAACTATATATGAGGTTATTTGAAATCTTCCTTTCTTATTAATAACTTCTTTCTAAAGTATGTAATTTTTTTATTAATATTAGAATAATTGTTCATAACTTTTCCTAAATCTCACCTCAAAATGTTTTGGAACATTAGGCAGAAAAGAAGATGAAATGACTTCAACAAATGACTGACTAATAAGCATTGATTGTAAACCTCCAAAACAGTGAGCAGTGTACCAAGACCCCAGCATGTAATACTGGACCTGCCGTCTAGGGCAGTGGTGGGCAAACTACTGCCCAAGGACCAAATGTAACCTGGGGTCTATTTTCGTACAGCTCTCTACTTAAATAGTTTTTATATTTTTAAAGAGCAAACAAGTCAAAAAAGAATATGCAACAGAGACAGTTTGTGGCCTTTTACAGCATTTTGCCAACCCTTGGTCTAGAAGGTCACAGTATCATCAGGGAAATGAGATTTGTATATATCTAATAATTGGTGCTAATATATAGAATGGACTGAAGGTAAGGTAGGATTTCAGAGCCAAAATTATTAGGGAAAGTACCTGCAAAAGATTGCCTCTGGAACTTTCTTGTGGTCATAAGTGATCTGGAGATCTTGTAGCCACGTGGATTCTAATTCAGCATATCTAGGACAGGCTCAAGGTTCTGCACTGGTGATACTCAGGTTGCTCTTCCACATAGCGAGGACTTAGAAGACAGGGAGAGTTCGAAGATGTGCAGAATAGTAAAGGGGCTGCCTGTTGATGCAATTAGAAGACACGGTAATAGGCTTAGGAAAATAGTCCAATAACAGAATAAAGGTACTTGTGTTTTCCATACCTTTCTGTCAATGAGATGACAACCCCAAGGGCCTGGTTTTTCCCAACATTGTCACTCAGATTACTGATACTAGACCAAAGCCAAAAAAAAAAAAAATAGTTCTCTACCTTTATATGAATTACACCATTTTTCCAATAGTCTGAAAGACATGAAAAGCCTTGTTGAAAGGAAAATTTTCTTATGCTAGAAACTGAATTAATATGAGCAGAGTTAGTTTTATAATATAGATTTTGTAATTTAACTAACTTCTCTCCTATATTTTTTTTTACATTCAAATTGATCTAAAATATTATTTAAAACTTTAACACGTTTTAAACACTGTAATTTCATTCCTCAACAATCCAAAGCCATTTTCAGCTCAGGCCAGAGTATTCTGCACAAATAACCACTCACCAAAAGAATCGTTTGTATCTAGGACACTTCAAGCATCCCTAAGCATGCATTTGGCTGAGCAAACCTAAACACCATAAACGGCTGTAAAAATTTTAAGACTGTTTTTACTGAAAAATAAAGAAATTTGTAATAGTCTCAGATACAGTGTAACAGTGTTTTAAGTTAAAATTGTGGTGACAGAGGATATGATATGAATACTGCTGCTTGAAGAGTCAAGGACAATCTTTAAAATCAGGCCATCTTCTTGGTATTCATAAAAGCAAAAACACAGAGATAATGACTAGATTTCATTACAACCAGGGAAAAGAAAGTTATTAACCCTAAATAAGACATTTTTCCCCCCAAAGCTCCATTTAATTTTTCCCCCCAAAGCTCCATTTAAAGCAGTAGAAAAAAATGTCTTTGCAAATTACTTCTTTGACACCTGTAGCCATTATTCCTGGGCAGATATAGGCCCGATGGTGGTTGGTACCTGAAATGATCGGTGAATGGGGTTGAATTAGTGGTACTGCTAAGTGATACCTACAGAAAGCACAGTGTGCAAAAATATGGCTCACGTCAGAATTGAGTAACCTGCTTTGCTTCCTTCTTCCTACCAACATCCACAGACTGATCTCTCAAGGGTCATTTACTTAAAAAGGGTCCCTTCCAATCACAGAGCTCCCTTTCCCAGCCACCTTCTAATTTCTCAGCCCTAGAAAATTGCCCCAGGCTTTTTTTTTTTCCTTTCACATGTACAGCCTGGCTTTATCTTTAAGCCTGAAACCTATAGTATAGGACTCTCTAGGTCCAGTTCTGAGCTCAATCACTGAATTGAGAGGCTTCAAATTAATGAAAGGTTTGAAAAATAGGTAAGATGAGGAAATGTTGACAGAACTGAGGTTACTTAAACTGGAGAAAGAAGAATGACAGGTCAGAAAATCAGTGGTGTATTGAGCCAGCTCATACTAGCTCTTAAGAGCTGATGGTTAAACTTCTAGGAATTTTGCAAGCTGATTTTTAAACACAACCGTTAATCAAAATTACATAGACTTACATATTACAAACAAAAGTAACACAAAGTAGCACAAGAAAACTTCTAGGGGTGATGGATATGTTCATTATCTTGATTGTGGTGAAGATTTCAGGAAGTATATTTGGTCCTGTAGGGTGACTTCTACAACACAGCAAATCTTATTTTTTCTATTATCAAATTTTAATGTAAGATTTAACACGAGACCATTCTTAATAATTATAATCTTCACTCTTCTCATGGTAACTATTCTTATATAGAAAGTGGTAGAAATTTAGAGTCTCTGTTTTAGAATATGGAAGCATGAACTCTGCTGATCACTGTCATGTGCCATTGAGAGCTCATCTGATGACTACAGGTTCATAGCACAGTTGGGAACCTCTCCAACATATGCAACAGTTCAGATATAGGAGCTGAAAAGGTAAATGGCATGACTGATCCAAAGTTTGAGGCCAGAAGGAAAGTGTATTAGCGGGTTGAAAAAATGAGGAAATGGTGAAAAGTGGTAACATAAAAGCTGAAATGTCATCTTGGAATATGGGTTGGAAAGGCGAACAAATATAGACTATATTTTCTAATTTTTTAGAAAATTATATATTTTCTAATAGTGAGGCAAGAAATGTAAAACAAAAGAAACAAAAAGGTGATTTCAGATGACAGCCAGTGCCCACTATAAATTGTCTTTCAAATAAATCACTAAAATAATTTAGTTCCCAACTCCATCTTTAAATAGGATTCTCTAACCTTTTATTTTGAACTTTTCAAAATAAAACTCCTTTAACTTATTATAAAAACATCTCAAATCATCTATAACTATGATTTTGCCAAAACTTAAAATAATCATCTGTCATTAAGAATGGCTTTGACATCATTTAAAATAAAAGCATTTTGCAGCTGGCATTTCTCTATTCCCAATTCGTACCCTCCATTAAAAATTAAGAAACAATTAGTCTATACCTTTGATCCCAAGCTTTGTTTTAGTTCAGCTTTTGTGGATGTAAGGAATACAGATTAACTGGCATTAGCTAGCTCAAGGAGAGGAAGTTTACTACAAAGGATTTGCATTGAGAGAGAAAAGGAAACGACTGGAATCACAGTAGAACCTGGCCTTAGGGACATTGGAGCTGAATGGCTGCTCAGTTTCTATAGATGTTCATTCCAATGGTCCTGTCAGTGTAACACTGCTGCTTCTTTCTGTTCCACTATCATCAGGCTCCCTCATAGTTTCTGGACCTTCATGGTTTTGCACAAGGCCCTCTAGCAGATTCTTACTTCAGACCTCCAAGAGGAAATATGATTGTCTCCATGTACCTTTTTTGTGACAGTTGGAGGTAGAGAATCAGCCTATAGAGTGGTTCCCAAAATCTGGTGTCCATCTCTAGTCCATTCAGTTTTACCTGCTTGGGGCCCACCTGGTAAGATCAAAGTCACTTAGGCAGCAGAGGCTCTTGATGCAGTTCCCTCAGAAGAGGGCTGGGCATAGGAGGTGATTTTAATTACAATAGCAAGTAGGTCAGGACTGAGAAAAAATAGGCCCAGTATTTATCCAGGTGCATTTTGGGATATATTTTAGAAACACAGTAACAAGACTGTAAAAAAATCATCTACCTCTTTTATTGCCTGTTCAGATTCCACCAACTGTACCCTGATAGATTTGGAGCAGGGGCAGGGCTCTGTATACATGGTGTGCTATATAACAGCACATTATGACTTTTTTTTCTTGAAACAAAGACTTTTCACAATTAGGCAAAGATCCAGCAGATAGTATCATTATTATGTAAGTGACAAGGCAATCACTTTACAAAAAAAATCTTTAACTGTCTCAATATTTTGCTTAAAAAACACTATGAAGTTTATGCAAATAAACAAGTAAGAGTTTAACTTTTGTTTACTAAAAAGTTTTTTGTTTTATTAAGTCTTATATGTACATATTATTCAAATGCTAAGTTCTGAATGCTAAAGTTTTGGTGCTTTTAATTATATCATATTCAAACGTCTATAAGACTTACCTTTTATTTATTTAGAACATTTACCAAGGAGTTAATTGTACTGTACTTATTTAAGAGTTATATTCAGGAAGTACATTTAACTTGAACTACATTAGAACTGTAACAGATTGTGTGAATTAAGCAACTTACAAGCTAAAACTTATGATAGCTTCCTGCCACATAACGATTACGATTACAGCCATCCTGGGTGTGCTAAGGTGAAAACACGCCTCTGTTCTTTGGGCTCGAGTTGTTCCTTTTCACAATGGTTACTTAGGTACTATAGAATTTAGACAGTTATGGGAAATTATTCACTGTTATTTTATTTGCAGTATTAATATGTTTTAAAGATTACCACATGGTTATTACTCCTATAGGTATTATTAAATTCTTAAAACTTTAACTATTTTCTAAGTGTGAGTGGGTATTTTTCAGGGTAAATTAAGTCTTTTAGACAGCTCTGATGCCATCTATTGAATAAAGTGTTGCAGTGGACATTTGACTTTTTTCTTCTGCTTCTGGGATTCTTGGTCAGTTGAGAGATAGGAGAAATCTCCAAGAGAAATAACAGTATATCTATTAATTTAGACAAGTGGAAGTTCAAGTAGTTAATTTGAATTTTAAGAGATGAAACCTCCCAAGCAGTTATATCCAGTTATAAACATATAAAACTAAATAATTGTTTTGAAATATGTAGATGAAAAACAATCATGGCAAGGGAAATAGTAGAAAATCAAGGACTGAGGAAAAAGGATGGAATTATTTGGTTACAATGGTTGGCATAGTTGCTAGAACTGAACCTCAAATTTAGTTGTAGGATTCCTGTCAACCAAACTGAAGAATGAAAACAGTAAATTACAAGGAATAAATACATATTGGTTGTTCTGCAGAAATGAAAATTTTGCCTTACATTAAAATTTTTAAATGTTTTTATTAATATGTATACAGAAAAGTATACAAAACAACATGTTTAGCTAGATGAATTATCACAAAATAACAACTAGAACAAGACAATGAACAAAGCCAACGCATCGGATATATCCCCTCCCTCTGTCCCTTTCTAATCATTGTTCTTCTCCCCTCCCCGAAATAACAATTATCCTGACTTTTCTGGTAACCACTTCCTGGATTGTTCTTTATAGTTTAATTTTGCCTGTTGAAATTTATGTTAATAGAATTATATAGTATTCTGGAGGAAGAAGCGGAGATCTGGTCTCTTTTGCTCAACTTTATGAGATTTTTCTACATAGTTATAAGGAGCTGTAGTTTTTTCATTTTCATTACTATATGACATCTGTTGAACAAATACAGTTCAATATATCTAGCCACTATACTGTTAAATGACCTTCGGTTTGCTTCCAATTTGGAGTTTGAATTTTACTAAAAGCATTTTTATAAAAGGTATCTTGATGCACAAGTCCATGCATTTCCACTGGTTATATTCCTAGGAGTGCGGTTACTAGATCAAAAACTATTTTCTGAAGTGGTTGTACCAAGTTATATTCTCACCAGCAGCACACGACAGTTCCCATTGGTCGAGTCCTCTGGTTCTGGGTCTCTCACAGGCCAGTAGTCAAAGCTGGGGCTGTGGTCTCATGTCTGGTTCACTTCCATAGTACCCCTTTTGTCAGTCTTGTTAAGTTTAGCCAATCAAATGGCTGTAGAAGAGTATCACATTGTGGTTTTAATTTTCATTTTCCTCATTATAAATGAGTTTGAGCCCCTTTCCACAAGTTTGTCGATTATTTAGATTATTTTGGAGAGCGTGCTAAAGTATGTGACCCATTCTTCTTATTGGTGGTCATTCATTTTCTTAATGACTTATATCAGTTCTTCATATACTTTGCACATGGGCCCTTAATTTTATCTCTTGTAAAGATCTTGTCCAATCTGTACTTTGCTTTTCATTCTTTAATGTTGTCTTTGGATAAAGAGATCTTATATTATCAATTTAATGTGGTCAAATTTATAATTATTTTCTTTACGGTTCGTGAGCTTTTTGTTCAATTTAAAATTAATTCTCTGTCACAAAGACAATTTATATCAACTTCCAGAATTATTTTATCTCTTTCAATATATAATCAATTGGCATTTGATTTGGGGATATGAAGTAGAGGTTAACTTTCTTTTTCCACGTGAATTTCAAATTGACCAAGCTGTTTATTATTGAAATTTCCTTTCCCACTGCTCAGGAGTGTTGTCTTCATCTTAAAGCAAGTGTACCTAAAGCTCTGTTTCTGAGCTTTCTATTTTATTTCTTTCATCTATTTGTCTATCTTTCCCCCATTGTTACACTGTCTTAATTAGCATAATTTTGTAAGTTCTTGATACCTGGTAAACATTCAATTTCATTATTCTTCAAGAGTTTCTTGGATATTTTTACTCCTTTGCATTTCCACATACATTTTCGAATAAACGTCATATTACACGCGTGCACGCACGGACACACACACATCCTACTGTGATTATGAATAGATTTGCACTGACTCTATTGATCAGTTTGAGAACTTATTGTAACAAAATATTCCGGCAACCCATGAATTATAATTCATTTATTTAGATGCTCAGTTTCTTTCAAAAATATTTCATAATTCCTTCTGTAGTGGTGTAATCTTTGGTTAAATTTATTCCTAGTTATTTGATATCTTGTATGCTATTATAAATTGTATTTCTTTAAAATGTTAATGTTGTTACTAATCTACTGAAACACAATTGATCTTTGAATATTGACTTTGTTTCGGCTACCGTAACAAAGCCGAATTTAATAATTTTCCTACTTTTTTTAAATTTTTCTATGCACACATCTATGAAAAAAGTTTTATTGCTTCCTTCCTAATCTATACGGTTTATTTCTTCTTCTCGAAAATACTAAAACACAATAATCGGAATGAGTAATTTATAATTCTTGTTGCAAATTCAATAAAAAGATGCCAGTGAATTCGATCTTTTTTCACTTCGCATGCTCTCACTGTCAGTTACTATGGACACAACTAGGAACAACACACTACCCCTTACACTCCTTTTCAATCCGGACGAATCTGAGCAGAGCCCAGCAGGATCCGCGGCGAGTTGAGGAAACGCGCGGCATAAGCACGCCGACCGAACCGCCCCCTCGCCCGGACGCAGCCAATCAGCGGCCCCCTCTTACCAGCGCGCCTCCGGCAAAAATGGCGGCGGCCGTTAGCGCCGAGTCCCGCGTCTAACTCCATTTCTCTGCTTCTCCCGTGCAAAATGTGAAAGGAGAAACGGCTGGTGGAGGGGGTCCTGGGCAATGAGTCGGCGAAGAAAACATGGAGACAGCCCTGGCCTGAAGAGCACGCTACGCAAAGCGGCGGCCGCTGAGGACTGCAGCTCGGTGGTCGAGCCAGGGAAGAGGCGGCTTAGGTCGGCCCGCGAATCCGGGCTCTACGAGGTCGCAGAGGGTCCTATCCGGCCCATGCCTCAGCAAGAGCAGCCTCCAGCAGCCGCTTCGGGCAGTAAAAGTAACCCCGAGGGTGAGACGTGGGCAGCGCGGCCTCTCTTGGCTTTGGCACTGTAGCCCCACATCCCAGCTTGCCACTGGGAAACCTGGGGTGGGAGTGGGGGTGGAGTCTGAAGAGTGTTGCTTCTCTGGGCTTCTCCCTTCATGAGTCCAAAAATAACCTGACACACTTCCCACTGCATTAGCCCCGGAATTTGAGCACTGCCCGATTAGGTTTAACCACCCACTTGTCGCCTCTGCCACACAATAGGTCCTGTGGGATTTACCTGTAGGAAGGAGGACGGCTAATTTCTAGGCTGCTCCTCCGGTCAGCAGCAATGGCGGAGCGAGGAGAAATATCTGTTAGACCTGCTGCCTTCACCTTATTACTAGGGGAATTATTTCCCCTTAAACTTTCTGCCCTAACTTACTCTAGAGAAAGGACCTTGTGAAATACTGTAGCTATATACTCAAAGCCACGGTGATGTCTCACCTCATTATGAATAAACCGGAAGTTCCTATGTATAACGTCTCTCAAAGTGGGAAACTAAGGGCCCCGGAATATGTCTCTGGTCAATTTTTGGTGTTCCATTTTTAAAAGATTTGTAATGAATCCTTGAAGGAACTGAAAGTCGTACTAAAGCTCTTTCCTAGAGCGTGTTCTTAAAATATGGCCTTCACTTTATCTTTACTTCACTCCCATAAAGCAACACCGGAATAAACAAAAACAAATCTGAAAAAATTTAAAAGTGATGATAGACAAAACTTTCTAAGACATGGATAACTAAAGCTTTTTGAAGAATTGGTTTAAGTTGGATAGAGTCGGTGAAAACAGGCTAAACAAACACTGAAGTTTCTGCTGGGATGCTTTTGATTTTTGAAACAAATTACAGGTGGTTCCCAAAGCCACCAAGTTTCAGAGTAATGAATTGAGTGACTAGGGTATACAATACTAAACATTCATAGAGTTACTGAAGTATCTTAAAATACTTGCTATTTACAATGTTAAATTTGTGAAGTAGTACAAAGATTTTTATGTGAAACATTTTAATTTTGGTGAAAATATCTCGGAGAAAATTTTATAATTGGACTCTAAAGAATAATCTTGCCTAAGCTATTATTTGACATTGTGTATTATGAAGCAGAGCTTTAAAATGCAACAATTTTTATCTTAATCTTATGTAGAAAGATATGAAACACCAAAGAGAGTGCTGCAAATGGATTTATTGTCATCTACCTTCAGTTCTCCTAATGATCCAGATGGACAGAATGATATCTTTTGGGATCAAAATTCTCCAATGACAAAACAGTTAGGTAATTTGTTATTAACATTTTTATCTGGGTAACTATTTGATAAATGATTCAGTGTTTAACTATATAATTTCAGTTGGGTACAGCATCAGAAACTTTACAATAAATGTTTTTTGAGAATTGTATGTGCTTATATTGCTATGATATGCATGTGATGTTACAGTGCACAGTGATTTAAGCCCTGCTAATTAAAATTGTTTTCTAAGAAGTGACTGCTATTTTTTAAAATCAAGTGTTTTTGTTTACAATTTATAGAAATGTCTTTATTTCTTTAGGTAAAGGAAGAAAAAAACAGATTTACACCACAGATAGTGATGAGATCTCACATATTGTTAATCGGATTGCTCCTCAGGTAAATGTCACTGGTTTTATAATTTATTTTAAAGCAGTGAAAAATATGCCACTAAGTCCTTGTGTAGTTCATTTATGTGAAAAATATTTTGTCTTTTAGAATTCTTTTTTTTTTTTCAGAAATAGAGCAGCAAAGATTGCTTTGACCTTTTCTACTTACTGAAATGCATGTTTTGAAAGAAGGAAAATATAAAATTGGTAATATATATTTTCCTAAATATATCTTACTTAATATTTAGACTGATGGTTTTCGACTAGAGCTTTGTGTTTATTTTGTTTTTAATATTGTTTGACAATATATGGCATCATTTATCAAGTTACAAAAATAATATACAATAAAAATTTAAGCTTTTAAGTTTTTTGTGGTTAGTATTTATGTACTGTCTATAGCGTACCTTCACCATTGAAACTGCTCTTAATAGTGTTGACTTAACAAGATCACCATGAAACATTGTAAAAGTGGAGAAAACACTGGATTTGGAGTTAGTTCTCAGTCCACCGCCTATATTGGGCGACCCTAAGCAAGTCAGTTAAGCTCTCAGAACTTCATTCGTCCATGAACTAGAATTACTTGTCTTGCTCTATTAGATTATTATGAGGATTAAATTAGATAAAAATTCTTTGTAAACTATAGAGACTATAAAGGTAAGGTTATTTTAAAGTTAATTATGATAGTTAAATCATATGCCGTAATAGAACCATCTGCAAAAGTTTCCTTTTCTTTATTTCATATTTACTCTACTGCTTGAGTGAAATAGAAATAGAAATTTAAGTCAACCTGTATTCTGAACCTCTTTACTTTTCTCTTTATTTTCCTTATTTAGCAACATTTAAATCTAGAAAACATCCAATTTTTGCTTAGTGTCTTCTCTATGAGAAGTATGGTATTTTTCTTTGACATGCCCATGAGTAGTGACTATATGTTGACCATAAACAATAGATGGCACTGGCCTAAACTGTGGTTAGAAGGAATCACCACAGTTCAAGTGGAAGAGACAAGAACTAAGGTTTTTCTTAGTTGCTGTGAAATATCTGAAATAATAACTAGCACAGTCAAAACAACTCTGTTGCTACTAGCTCTGCATTCCACGTTTGGCATGTCATAGAAATTCACTTTACATATGGTTCATTAGTTAAATAGCATTTATGCCATAATACTACTTACTTCATGAGTTAACAATAGATCTTCATTAATTGTGGGTTTCACATGAAAGAAGCATTATAAAATGTGTTTGGGCTGGCCAGTCTAAATAGTGATAAAAAGATAGTTGAGTAAATTATTGGACTTTACTTAAGTGGGCTGGAAATAATAGCTCACATAAAGAAATAGCAATGGTATGCAAGTGGTAACTTGTGTATAAGAAAAAGTACAGTGAAATTAGTTGCTTTTAAATGTTGCCCTTCTCAACTGAGCATTTTTAAAACAACTCTGGTAGTATCAGTGTCTTTTTGAAAGCTTTAAAAAGTGTGCTCAGAATGACATACTCACGTTTAATTTTAGGTATGTTATCTTCCTCAAATAATTATTTTTAAGTCACCTTAATATTTCCAGAGATGGCATTTAAAAAAATATTCACTTATGTTTTAATTGGACAGTCATTTCACTTTCTTCAAGGATACTTTTTATATAGTGTTGTTTGTTTGAAGATGGTGTATATATCTCCATCATTTTTATATAAGTACATGGTGCATTCTTTAGGATTAAATGAATAATGTGTTTAGATACCTTATGTAGCACCTGGATTGTCTTATATAATTATTAATGAAGAAAATTTGAAAATATAACACAAATAGTATAAAAAACATACAGGTGACCTATGTCTATATAAAATTGTATGTATAAACTTGTCATACTTTTATTGAACAAATTTGCAATTACTTGGTAAATGGACCAAAAAAATCCATAATTAAGTCATTAAGAATGTTATTTTCCCTATGAGGTTGTTGAAACAAAAAGGAAAAAGTATACTGAAAGTGAAATTATTGGTTTGAGTATTTTGCAATGCTAAAATCTTCTTGATCCAACTGGACATCTAAGAAAACTACTTGTTGATCAGTTAAGGATTCTAGTAAATAAATATGAACTGACATCTTTATGTTCATTTTGCTAGATGCTGGACTATCATAATAGTCCTTGCCTTCAAGTAATCTAGTGATAAGATTATTTTTACCTTGTGTGATAGTTTTTTATGTAGATTCTACATATTATAAAACTAGGGAGTAGAAAATGGTTAACCTATTCGATTTCTTAGTTTGGTTTGTAACTAATGCATAAAATCATCCTCTAATATTTTGCTTGATCAAGTGACTGAAAAGCATAGCAAAAATATGCAGAACTAAAATAACTTTTCTCCTACCTTATTCTTAGCATCAGTTCTAACCCTGTACTTAACCTCTAACTCAGTCCTGACCTTAATTCTGTGGAAGTGTTCTTAATTCAGGTCAACATGGATCGTCCAAATTTAGTTAAAGGGTTATAATGAGGATAGGGAAAATTTGGAGAATCAGGTGATATAGAAAGAATTTCATATACCTGTCTCTTCTTAATTCTGTTGATTTATGCTACAGTTTGTTTCTGATACTAATGTTTATTTCTATAAATATCTTATGTTGATCAGTTTTGGTAAAAATATGTCTTTATTATTAAAATGCACTTTTAATCAAATTACTAAAACTTTACATTTTTGAAAATTAGAAATTCCCAATTTTGAATGTTTTTATTCCCTGAAACATAAATGTATCACTTCTTGCAACTATTTATTACCATCCTCCAGCTTCTTATTGTTTTGGAGATTGTTTAATAACTATCACCTTACCAGAATTGATTACTTTAGGAAAATAATTCAACATAATAAAGTTTTCCCTCCCTCCTTCCCTTCCTGCTTCCCTTCCTTCCTTCCTTCCTTCTTTCCTTTTTTTTTTGTACTTTTCTCCTCCTTTATTTCTCTCTGCCAAAGGATGAAAAACCAACAACAGACTCTATGCTGGGCATGTGGATTGGTGCAACTGCTATTCCTTGTACTCCTAATGTAGCAAAAGGAAAATCAAGAGCAAAATTCAGCTGCACAAAGTAAGTTTAAACTTTTTAGCTTTTCTGACATTCAGTGAAATAAATATTTTTAATAATGTTCTGTTTTGGTTTTGTGACTACATCAAAAACTTTCTTAGCTTTGACATGTAAAATTTTGGACTTTAAGTAATGATAATGTAAATTTCAAAATTTTCGAGTTTTAATGTGTTAAATAACAAATATTTGTAATGACTCTTAGACATTTTCTTATTTACAATTGTTTAAAATATTTGTTTAATAGGTTAAAAACACAAGATCGAGAGGAAGAACTTATGAAATTGGCTAAGCAGTTTGATAAAAATATGGAAGAGCTAGATGTGATTCAAGAGCAAAACAAGAGAAATCACGATTTTATCCAGATGATTTCAGAAACAGAGACTTTAAATAATTATGATGTTCAAATGCAGTTACTACATGATATAGTTCCTGAAATAGATAATGCTGTAATAAAGAAGCCAATGAAAGAAAATACCAAGGTATCTATGGTAAATGATAAAAATAGCAGTCAGAAGCCATTTGACCAAAATGCTGAAGCAGCCTTTAATGCCATTTTTGATGGTTCTACTCAGAAATGTAGTGGACAGTTAAGCCAAGATCTGTCAGATGCTTTTCGGAATACCATTAATACTACCTTTGGAAAGAGAAGCACTTTGAAAGAGGAGAAAATCATTACTAATGAAACTCTGGTCACTGAAAAACTGCCAAATAAACCTGCAGCATCACTTTCTCATCAAGTAGATACTCCTAGAATGAAAAAATCGAATGTGACTTCCTGTCCTGAGGAGCCAGAAGCTTCTAATAAGCACTTTGATGCATTTACTACTGATGATCTTGAGGATGATTGGGAGAATTTACTAAGTAATGAATCTTTTGTTATGCAAAATGTAGAAATGTCTGAACCAGCCCAGATGGCCGATCAAAAGGGAATTTGTACCTTTAACAGTAAAAATGATAAAAGTAACTCAAGAACAAATGTAAGTCTAGATGCTGGGTTAAGAGATTCAAAAATTTTACAAGATCTTTCTGCAAAGACACATAACAGTGAATTAATAGATGCCGGAACATATAAATTTTCACCAAATTCAAATGATAAATCAAACAAATTATCCTCCATTGGAAATAAAATGAAATTTGAGAACTCTTTCAATGAAATCATTCAAGACAAAACTCAAGATTGTGCTGTTGCATCTAATTTGACAAAAGTAAAGGGAGATACTCATACTAAATTTATTCCTAATGTTAATACTTCTGGAAAAAAGTCTACTTTGAACACAGGATATTCTAATGAACAAAAAAATAAGTCTAATTTTAATCAGTCTTTTAAAACATCTGCTAATGTTCCTTTTGGCTCTGCTGCTTTGGGCGATGCTTATCAGACTAATGCATCAAAGTTGGATTCTTTCTCTGATGATTGGAATGACCCATCATTTGCCCATGAAATTGTTAAAGCATGTCATCAATTAGAGAATACCTGGGAAGCAGACGATGTAGATGATGATTTATTATACCAAGCATGTGATGATTTTGAAAGACTAACTCAACAACAAGACTTTAGAAAGGACAGCAAGACATCAGAAAGTATACTTGAAATCAGTAATAGTTCCAGTCATGGAGCCCAAAACATGTTTACTACATCTAAACAAGGAAGTCCATTGGTGCAGTCAACACACTTGAATCTGCGTAATATTTCAGCACAAACATCTTCATTGACAAATAGCTCACCAATAAATAAATCAATGAAGATGCAAAAAGAGGAGATTTATGGAAATTCTCCGAGTTTTTTAGGTGCTACAACAAATCTGACTATATACTCTAAGAACTCAAATTGTCTGATGAATAATCTGCCTGTCTTTTGTAATAACACTGATGTTCCAATACAAGTGAATAGTTCCAAATCGGTTCTTACAAGAAGTTCAAGTTTGAATGTGAATTCAAGTCATATGAGTACAGAAATTGCTACTTATAAGAAGAAATTGAGTACTCAGCCTATGTCCCATAGGACTACAATAGATGAAGCTCAGAGTAATCTTAACAGAACAGTTAGATTTTCTAAGTATACATTTACAAAGATGAAAAATTCTCAGATTCTTTCCCAGTTTAATGAAAATTGTATAACAGGAAGTATGTCTGATACCAGTATTACACAGGGTTCGGAGAAAAACAAAACCATCAACTCATGTGGGAAGGCTATTCAACAGCAGTCTTCGGTGAAACTTTCTGAATCTTTGAAACAACCTTCAAAAGGTATGTATGAAATTGTTTCCTTTGAACGGTATCATCTCGGAAAGTAGCCAAACTAGTTTTTTGTTGTATTGAATTTGCATTACATGTAAGGTTAAAATTATGATGTTTGACTAGAACTCAAAACAGTTCTTACAAATAATTATGCTGTAATATACAAAGCATAGGTGATTTATGTTTTCAAAAGACTACATCAGATTCTTTCCCAACATTTAATACAGTAACTAGCATATAGTAGACACTCAGTAAATATTTTTTTGAAAGTTTTCTGTATTTTCTAGAAATCGTACTTTAGGTATATGTGTTACTATGTGAGATTGTGTTTACTAAATATCTCAGTGTTTTAAAACTTGAATAATCTTACTCCTGTGTGTTTAGCAGAACACTGAGGTGAATAATGTTTGAAAATTTAGAGCATTCTAATTAAACACCTTTGGTACTATAATAACTGGTATAAAACTCTGTTGTGATAGTTAGAATGATAACTTACTCAGTACAGCCTGTCATTTTTCATTCTTCCAATTCCTCTTTTCCCAAATTCTTTTCATCAGCAAGTTTCATTGTTTTTACCTCAAAAAATATCTCAAAACTGCCCATTTTTCTCACTCTCTATTGCTACCATCCTTTTCCAAGTGAACATTTATGGACTAGACTGTTGCTGTTCTTTCACCTGTCTTCTTTCATTTCTGATCTTCAAACAACAGAATTGTCTTTGACAAACAAATAGGGAAACATGACTTTCCTATGCTTAACCATAGCTTTCATTGGCTGCCAATCATATTTCAAATAAAGTCCAGACTTTACACTGTGATCTACAAAGCCTTGAATTATCTTTCCTTAACTTGCCTGTCCTCTTTTTTCCCTTACATACTAAGCTTCAACTACACCAACTGTCTTTCAGTTCCTCAAAGGAAATAGGTTCTTTCCTAGTTCAGGAGCTTTGACTATGCTGTTCCCAACTAAAACTACCCAACATTTGACCCTCCCCCACTCTCACCCTTTGGTTGATGCTTTTTTATCCTTACGTCTCAGTTTAAATATTACCCTCTCACAGAGGCCTTCCTCAAACAGTCTATAAGTGTTTTCCTTGTTTTCCATTATCTCTTTTTTCCTTCACTTCTTTTATCACAGTTCGCTATTAAATATTGATTACTGTTTGTCTTATCAATGAGAACCTAGGCCTATCACAGCATCTGCCACCTAGAAAATGTTTAATAAATATTTGAATGAACATCATGCCATGTAATGGGAAAAGTCTGTTATTTCCTGATATCATAATATTTTTTTAAAAGGGAATATATCTATCATAACTGCTAGTGCTTCTTAATGCCCAGTGCTTTCTAACAGATTCACGGTTTTGCAGATGCTGTTTCCTTTACCAGGAACATAATGCCCACTACATGCATATGCCAAATCTGCCAGGCCATTTTCCATTTCTCCTTTAAAACACAGTGTGTTTCTAACCGCCCAGAATGATTTAGATTCACTTTCTCTGGGTTTCTCCAATACCCATTACTAACTTCTGTTATAGCATTTACTATACCAGCTTGTAATTATAGATTTTCTTAATTAGTCCACCCTCACTTGAGGCCAACATTAGAATTCTTATCTATTATGTAGATCAATACTAATACGAGAAAGTTTTTAGTTTCTTATAACATTATTGTTTTCTGTTTAGATTCTAGATGATATTTTTGTTGGCATTACTGCTTAAACTTTCCTATTTAACTGATCCCTCTCCTTTAAAAAATTATAAAAGTAATATGCTACTTGTTTAAAAAGAAAGAAAACACTATAGATTAATTTGAAGTAAAAAGTTAAGTCCTCTATTTTTTCTCTCACCATTTCTCATTGAAAGTCACTGCTAAATATAGCATAACATTTTTGTACATATAAAACGTGTGTATTATATACTTACAGATTTATTTGAATAGATGGAATTATATAATATATACCCACTGTTTGGCAACTTGGTTTTGCCTTTATTTAATATACTATAGCTATCTTTTCTGGTTCGTACATATAGATTTCCTTCAGTACTTTTAACGATCACATAGTATGTCATTATATGGATGTACCATAATTTATTTAACTGTGTCTCTATTGATGAGAGTTTAGTTTGGTTGCAGTTTTTTGCAATACAAACAATCCTCCAGTGAATATCCTTCTGTATAAATTTCTGCATGCTCTTGTGTTTATATCTGTTAATTACTGAAAAATTGATGTAAGAAGATTTTGAATTTTGATGTATATCACCAAATCTTCCCCAAAAGTTACATTAACTTATATTCTTATCAACACTGACAGTGAATATATTTCTCTACATTATAGCCCAAACTAGATATTTTGAAACTTTAAAAATTGCCAATCTATAATAATTTTAAATATTTATATTTTAATAAGTAATTAATTCACCCATACTCCCAACATGAATATATTTGTATATAGTTATAATTCCATTAAAGACTAAATCTCTCTGGAAATTTGAGTTTTCCCAAGACTTCTGTCTACTATCTTATCCATATTTTTTATCGATGAATAATCTGCCTTTCAGTTTTCTTTATCAATTTTTCCTTTAAATTTATTTGTAATATCTAATCTTCTAATAATATTGACCTTGTTGATATTTTCTGTTGTTTATACTTTTTTTTTTATGTTGCTATATAGCAAACTACTCTCCAGGGAATATCTTTGAAACAAAACCCATTTAACTACCTCATTGCTTTAAGGCAGGGTTTGGCAAAACCTGGCCTGTTTAGATTCAGTCTATATGGTCTATTTTTGTACAGCCAGCATGTTAAGCTGCTTTTCACATTTTAAATGGTTGAAAAAAAATCAAAAGAATAATAGCTCATGACTCTTGAAAATTATATAGAATTCCAATTTCATTGTCCCTACACAAAGTTTTATTTGAATATAGCCACATCATTTGTTTCTGTATTGTCCCTGGCCGTCTTCAGTGCTACAGAGACGTAAATGAGCAGTTGCAACAGACACAAATGACCCTTAAAGGTTAACATATTTACTTTCTGGCCTGTTACAGAAAAAAAATTGCTGACTCCCCTGCTTTAGGTTAAAGATTAAGAACCACTCTTGCTTTGTACCTTGCAATAGTTTGAGACTTTGCTATGTATTTTTATTGCAGATTGAGTTAAAGGAAGGGCTGATGGGAGAAATGGATGACTCTTTAAATCAGATTTTCATGATGTGACTTTATTATATCCTTTGAAATTATTTTCCAGAATATCACCAAGCGAATTGTAAGACCAATTTTAGGGAGCTATATTCTCTTCTGCCATCATGGATTATTAACCTTTTTTCCTTCAAAACTTATGGTCAATCAAATGTAAACTGTATGTGTATCTATTCAGAGTTTCTTGTATTTCTCAACTTTGAGACAAAAATATTAGATAATTAGACTAATTTTAAAGTAGCTTGTAGTATCTTTCTGTAAAGGAAAATAGCTATAGTCTGTGAGATTATTAGTTTAGGAAATAAAGACATCAGAATTATTAGGGAGTTTATTCAAAATATATGTCTCTTACCCAGGACACCCACTCCCATTTAGATTATACCAAGAAAGAAAAGGAAGACAGGTGATATATTTTGGGCAAATATTTTCCTTAGTGAACAAGGGAAATGCCTGTTATAACAAATAAATTCTGAACCTTTGTCTAGATGTCAGTGTAAATAATATTTCTCTGCTGACAGTACTACAGAAAGGCAGATTTTGCAACATAGGTGGTTTTACCAGTACAATACAAGGCCACTTAAATATGTTTCAAGGTGATGGTCTTAATTCTAAAACATTTAAATGAGAAAATAGGTTTGCTATTTGAAGTTTGATTTTTGTTAGTATTAATCTAATACTTTAGCTCAAAATGACTTAACTATCAAATTAAGTTCATTTTATTAGAACTCAGTTTTTTGATAGAGGTAGAATTAGATATTAAAATAGAACTTTATTTAATTTAAAATATTGTTTATTTTATAGTATGTTTATCTAAAGTATACTCTATGCTGCATAATTTATCAGAATGCTTCACTTTAGTATATATTAAAAAGACGTTGAAGATTTTCAGATATTCTGCTTTTTGAAGTAATTTTGTAATATTTATGTAAAATGTGTTTTCCAAATAAAAAGATAATATCTGACAGTGAGTTACATGTTTATTGACATGCTGGATTTCACTCTGTCACTTTAAAATATTTTTACTGTATGGCTGAAATGAAAATCTTGGAGGTTCCCTATAGAGGAAAAAAAGTTGGTGTGAATATAAATATAGCTTATAGTAGAAGTACACTGTTTGAGGTATTATCTAATTTAATAAATGATATTTTGTCTACATTTAAAATCCCAGTTTGTTTTTAAGATGTATTCATACATTGGTTATACAAATTAGATGTCATTGTTCACAGAATTATTTGCTAGGTAGTCAAAATGTACCATTTTTAATCAAATGAATTTTATCTTACTTTGAAAAGAGTGGATCACATAGGAACAGATTGATCAGTGCTCAATTTTCTTTTGTCCTAGAGCATTATATCTGTACTTGGAATCTTATATTTAGTAGATTAGTGTGATTTAATAGCCAAACCAATATGGCAAATCTGGGTAATAAAAAAGTAAAAATTCAAATTTATATGCAGAATGACTTTCAAGTTTATACAACTAATATCTGTATTTTGTTTAATTTTTAGAGGAAGAAGAGAAAAATAGAAAGTATTCTCCTGAAGAAATTCAGAGAAAGAGACAAGAAGCGCTGGTTCGAAGAATGGCCAAAACACAGGCATCATCTATAAAAGCAGCTCCCACTTGATTTCTCCAGTGAAGAATTAAGTGGAAGACTTAACAAAGACAGTTGATAACTATCTATGATAGGAAATATTGTTTCTTGATTTCTCTGTGAGAAATATAATGCTGAGTTATAAAGCATGGACTTCTACTTTATTTAATAAATCAGTGTTTGCAATGGTCAATGAAGCCTTTACTTAGAGATGTATGTGAAAGTAATCATATGTAAGTTTGGGAAATTTAGGAAAGCTAACAATTATGTAGTAGAATTGTACAGAGGCAATTAGTTACATTTTTTAAATACTGTGATTGTAGAGGATCATCAAAAAAATGGGTTATCTACTAAATTTTTTATCGTAATGTCTTTTCCTAATACAAAGCTTCAACTTACTAAGTAGAGACTATTTTTTTTTTTTTAATAGTTTTTACTTGATGTAACTGTTCCTTAAGGTTGTTATACCTTTCTGAATTCAAATTAATACTTTCATCTTCATGGTTGGTAGGAAATAAAGGACTTTAATTTACTTGTAAGGAAATTATTGTTTTGAATTCCTACTCTGAAAAAGATTTAAATTTTAATTTTCTAGAATAATGCATTTTGTAAACTTTCCACTATTTTTAGGGAAAATGCTGATTTAAGAAGTTTAGGGGAAAAAATAGATTGGCTATGTAAATAATATAGTTTCATTAACATTTAGAACTGTCAAACTTTAGATATCTGATCCAGCTTCATTACTGTATAGGTGAGAAATGAATATTGTTATTCTGAAAGACACAAGACAAGTTAAAGCTGTATTGGGATTAGAATGATTTCTTTCACTCTAATGGATACTTAAACAATTGTACCATTTCCTTCAGGGTATTAGTACATAAAATAACTTGTAGTTATTTGTAATATAAAACTTAAAAACGTACATTAAGGACCATTTAAACTTGATGCTCATTGTTTCTTGTATTAAAGAATCATTCCAGGATATAAAAATGAGAGTCTTTCTCTTTCCCATTTTCTTATAACTATGTAATTTTTCCTTGATTAATTTACTGACTTTACTAATTTGTTCTTTTACACTTTTTTATTTTTATTTTTACTGGTTTGGAATTTGCTAAGCCAAAATTAAAATTCAAGCAGAGAGCATAAGGGCAGTAAGGATGCTTTATTTATCCTAAGTGGCTTTAGGAGACCTGAGAAGAGTTACAGATGTGAAATGCCTATTCGATGGTTCGCTATTCAGGTTTCTTAGAGCTGTGATAGACTTGAAATAATTAAATGCATTTTAAGATATTGCTATATAGACATATCACTGTGAAAATTGTATTTTCATACATAGAGTAGCACATTCTAAGTAAACTTTATTATCTAAGAAAATATAGTAAAGGATCTAAGTAAATACAGTCATGTGCTATTTAATGGTAGGGATATATCCTGAGAAATACATCATTAAGCGATTTTTTCATTGTGTGAACACCATAGAATAACTTACACAGACATGGTAGAGCCTACTATACACCTAAGCTATATAGTACAGACTATTGCTCTGTGTGGGCCTTTGTCAACTGAAATGTCGTTATGCAGCACATGACTATATAGATAAGTTTTCCGTAAGAAAATTAACTGAGAATCTTATCTCTCTAAAATGGTTTCACCCGTGTTCTTACTATGCTTTATCACTACATTTGCTTAAGCTCTTCCCTGTCTACGCTTGCTTCCTCTAGACTGCCTTTAGCCTATTCTGTCCAATTCTACCCAAACAATTCCAGAGAATTGAAGAGGATGAACTATTCCCAACTCATTCTATGAGGTGAGCATTATTCAAATACTAAAGCCTGAGAAAAACAAAAGGAAACTAAAGACCAATATCCCTTATAAACAAAATGCAAAAATTCTCGACAAAATTTTAGCAAAGCAAATTCAACATAATATAAAAAGAATGATCTATCATGACCAAATAACATTTACTATAATATTGCAGGGTTTGTTTTTAACATTTGAAAGTAAGTCAATGAAATATACTATATCAACAAAAGAAAAGGAAAGTCACATAATTAATACGTTAGAAAGAAACTTCCCAAATCTAATTAAAAGGGCATCTACGAAAAAAGGTACAGGTAACATAATGGTGAAAATTTATTTCTTCCCTAAGATTGGTAACAAGGCAGAGATGCCTGTCCTCACCATTTCTCTTTGATACTGTAGTGGAGGTTCAATAAGGCAAGAAAGAAATGAAAATCATCCAGATTGGAAAGAAGACAACTTTATTTGCAGACAACATGATCATCCATTCAGAAAGTCGATCTATAAAAAATGCTACTAGAAGTAAGTTTACCAAAGTTACAGGATACAACATTGATATACGAGAGTAAATTACTTTTATATACTAGCAACAAATGAAATTAAAACCTATTTATAAATGCATTTAAAAATATGAAGTTCTTAGGGATAAATCCAATAGAAGTTGCAGAGGACCTATACACTGAAAATGATAAAATGTTGCTGAAAGAAAAAAGACCTACATGAAGAGATGCACCGTGTTAATGGTTCAGAAGACAATATTAAGATATCAATTCTCCCCAAATCTATAGATTTGACATAATCCCAATGATATTAACAACTAATTTTTTGTAGAAACAAACTGATTTTAAAATTCATATGGAAATGCAAAGGACATAGAATTGCCAAAAGTGACTTCGAAAGAATAAAATTGATACACTAATAGTACCTGATTTCAAGACTTGTAAATAAAGCTACAGAAATCATGACTGTGGTAGTGGCATACAGACAGACAAATATATCAGTGAAACAATATACAGTTCATAAATAGTTTCACACATACATGGACAATTGAGTTTTGACAAACGTACAAAGACAACTCAGTAAAGAAAATAATCTTCATTAAATTGTAACACTAGAACACCATAGGCAAAAAACAAAAAATCTATACCTCCTACTATACAAAAATTAAAAATGTATCATAGACCTAAATACAAAACTTAAACTATAAACCCTCTGTAAGAAACAAATGAAACTGACTTTGCATTACCCAAAGTTTTAAATATGACTCCAAAAGCACAATCCATAAAAGAACAAATTGATAAGAATTCATCAAAATGAAGATACGCCTGCTCTTCGAAAGACATAAGATTTTCAGCAAGGGTGCCAAGACTGTTCAATGGGTAAAGAATAGTCTTTTCCACAAATGATACTAGAACAACTGGATGTAAACAGACGAAAGAACTAAATTGAACTCCTACCTCATATCATGTAAAAATTACTCAAAATGGATCATCAGCCAAATTTGTGAGAGCTAAAATTGTAAAACTCTTAGAAGAAAATATGGGAATAAGTCTCTAGGCACATTTCTTAGATATGACACAAAAGTCACATTACAGAAAGAATGTGAATATCATCATACTTAAAAACTTGTGCTTCAAAGGATACCACCAAAAAAAAAAAAAAAAAAATACAGCCCACAAACAAGGAGAACGATCTGAAAATCACATACTGATTAAGAACTTGTGTCCAGAAAATATAAATTACCCTCAAAACCTTAAGACATAAAACAACCCAATAAAAAGGAGAAGAACAAAAGATTTGAACAGCCAATTCATCAAAAAGATAAATAGATAGCATATAAGCACATGAAAAGTTCATCATCATTAGCAGTTTTACAGGATGAAAAGAGTTCTGGAGATGAAAGGTGATAGTGAAGAGAAAGCAGCTATTTTGAGTTGCTTCCTAGGCATTACACTATGACAAACCTCTAACACTCAAGAGTCTGGACATTGGGATAAGACCTGAGCTTAGGAATCCTGCCACAAGTTTCCACTTTTTTCTTTGGCACACTTTTTAAAATAAACATTTAGAGAGTTGAGCCCACAAAAAGTTAGTGACCTCTGCCCCCAACCACCTTATAGTAATAGGTGTTTGCTACCCTGCTCTCCATCTCCTGCTGGCTCCACCGGAAATGGGGGACTGCCTGGCTCACTGTATCCTGGCAGTCTTGTCTTTACTTCCTCTGTATGAGTGTTGAAACTGCACTTTCCATCAAAATAACTCCAAGGTTTTTACTTCCCCAAAGCGAGAGCTCAAATGCTGAGGAAGCTATCTGACCCCTTTTGGGTGGCTTGTGCCTCCTCCTTCAGCAGGTCATAATTCATATATTCTTGATCTAATACACCAGCCACGGGCCTCTGCCCAACACAGTGGTGATGGTTACACAACATTATGAAGTATTTCATACCACTAATTTACCACTTAAAATGGTTAAAATGTTAAATTTTTGTTATGTGTAATTTACCACAAAAAACTGAAATAAACTAATAAATAAATGTAAAATCTGAAATCAAATGAATTTTTTATGCTTTGGTATATTAAAATCAATCGGTCTACTTTGTACTTTGAATACATCCTTTACACATGTGCAAAATATCATTCACGATAATTTGGAAAATATTGGTTCACTGAGTTATGCAGATTTTCCAAATACTGACACATCATTATACAATCACCTTTGTTAACTATTACCACTAATCTCATGAAATGTCTTCCATGTGTTAGAAAGCTGTCAAGTTCACGGTAGCTGATACAAGTTTTCCAAAATTCTAAGGGTTGCTCGAAAGCTTGAATTTTTCCATTGACTAAATAAAATAAACAAACAAACAAACAAACATTGTTTTCCTCGAAATAGCAGGCCAACTTTGTTCTTTTTTTTGAGATAATGTGTGGCAAATACCTAAGTCTGAATAACCGTACTATGTCAATCATTCTTTCAAGGGAATGGTATTCCATGTAAAAAAACAACTAATTTTATGCTTGCACCATTTGTTGAAATGTTACACATTGATACACAGTAGAAAGGCTTTTTGTGTACTTACTATGTGATCTCACAGAATACGAAAAAGGAGTTGAAATTTGATAGAATTAATCATTATTATTGCTTCATCACAGGCATTAAGCCTTTTATTTGTTTTATGTTTTTAACTGCAAGTATGTGGCAGTGACAAATCCTATGACTACCAGTATCTATGGTTGCTGCTTTCGATTTGTACTACAGTGCTAGTAGTTTTACCCATCATTGTTTTTTAACCACTAGTTCAAATGCAAACACAGTAAAAAGGGAAGTAATGTCTCAGTACTATTATGAAGACAATTCTGAATACATCTTTTGACTACTCTCTGGAAAGTTCTCTTGAGAACCCCATGAAATGTGAAGACTATACTGTGAGAGCCACTGTTATACAGTATACTATGAAACCATTAAAAGAAACAGCTCAGAATTACATTTGGCAATATACACAGGCATTAACGGGTTCTAGGAGGTGGGGAAGAGCAGATAAAGATCTATTATTATATGATATTATATGGCTATACTCAAAATAGGTACACATAATGCCTTTTTAAAAGAACAATTAAAGGATGCATATCAAATACATTAAAAATGGTGTTGTGGGGTTGAGAAACAGCATTTCTTTTCAACAAAGACAATTGCTAGATAAACTTTCATGTTAAATTTTAACATATCGGGCCAATTCTAGGTTTTTCCATTACTGTCTAGGCATATTGATATAGTTGTGGTAGTTCCTAAATATTGATGAAAATCTGGCAATGGAAAGGAACACCTAACAACAACAACAAAAAAGTCAAGAAGAAGTAAAAAATGAGCCATAGGAATATGAGTGAAAATTCAAAATCCTTACTGCACACTTATTTTCTTACATGTGTTTTGGGTCCAATAATGAACTAATGGTTTTTATTCTTGCTTATTGGTACTACTTTTTTCAAATGTCAGAGACCTTCATGCGTGGTTTATTGTCTTTGAGTACAGCCCCTGAGTCTATTGCTCTATAGCACCCACACAAACTTCCTTTCTGTCTAGTGCCAGCTTATCTGAACTGTCATTCTTTCACATAATGGGAGTCTGAGTGGGAGAAATCTAGAACATCTTTCCTTATCTGATACCATAGTTTATATATGAACCAATCTGTCCT